CCATGCACAATTTGATTACAACTACACCAAAACAGAAATAAGAAGATGATGTAACTCATCACAAACTGACCGCAATTTCTTGCATCAAATCAGCAGCCTCAGCTATAAGCCCTTGTTCTTCCTTGATCTTTGCAAGTCTCTTGATCAAACGAGCCCTCTCAATCTCCACATATATCTACAAAATAACAGGACCAATTGAGAAAAGAACCAAAAGAAAAAGAGTGGGCATTATGTGCGTACGGCAACATACAGTATATCATGACAAGTATATGTTCACCTTTCCAGCAGAAACACTGTTAAGGTTTTAATGAGCTCTATCCTAGTTTCAAGATCCGGTGTCTCATCAATGTATTGCATTGCCTGCTGGACCATCGCAGTTACGGCCTGAATGAAATCAGGAACCCCATGAAAAAAAATCAGCAAGCCAATTAAAACCAATTTACCATTAAAAAAATACCAACAAAAAAAAATCAGGTTCCTTTGTTACAAAGGTAGAAAGGAGAAACCCATTTCAAAGCATAAGTTGAATGGAAATGCCAAAAAAAAACTGTGACAGTGCTTTTTAAAAAAAAATGGAAAACAACAAAACACGTATGATGAATGGCATACCCAGCAGCAACAACCAGATATAACTAAATGAAGTTTAAATAAGTGACTGTGTCACTGCTTAAATTCAAATGTGTGTGCACATCTCTTCCTATCCATCTAGGTTTACATACTGGTGTATATACTTTGTATGCACACAAAGATACCGAAACACATACATATAAGCAGGCACCTCACTGCAGGCATGTATGTAGGCATTACGCCATCCTAATTCTTTTTCAGTGTTTAACCCCATTTTCTCTTGATTTACATTGTTAACTACAATTTTTTACAAATAGGTAGCATCAATGTTATTAAAAGCGCAACTAGGTGATCTCCTAGGCAAGAAGCAAGCCCAAATCACCTAGAGTGGCCCGGGCGAAGAGAAGATTAAGCATCTAAGGCAAGTGCTCCTCGCTTAAACAAAAAGCGAAGAAGCAAACATTTTAGTAAATTTTTTAGTTTACTTTATGGATCTATTATGGGTTAGATTTGATCAAATGGACCAAAAAGTAGATACACCATAACAACAAATTGCCACTTAATCCACATATGTCTAACCCTAAAATTTCTTCAACAATACTAATTGAGAATTAGCGGCAGGTAAGGGCATCTCTAACCCTAACTCAAATTTAAATTTAAGTAAAAAAATCTAAAAAACTTGCCCTAACCCTTACTCAAACTTATACAAAATCAAGGGGACTCTTTTTTTTACTCAAATTAAGGGAGACTCAAATCCTTATCCAACTCTTTAATTGTGAGATCTCACCCTCTTTTAAAGATTCAATGGTCATCTTTTCTCTCATGTAATTATGGGTTTGCCCTCATTTAAATTTAAGTTTCTCCTTCTTTAAATTTGAGTTTGTGCATTGGAGCCCTTTGTATCAAATCAAGCTTTTTACTCAAATACTAACTTAAATTTGAGTCATGGTTGGAGATGCTTTAATAGGGGTGATACTCAAGCCGAGCCCAACAAGCTTGACTGTTCTCAAACTTGGGTTGCGTATTTGGGATGTTGGTCAGATTCGGCTCGGGCTCGAACCTTGAGCCCTATTTTAAGCTCAAGCACGGCTAGCTAACAAAATGGCATGCTCAAGCTCGGCTAGTTTGGCCTTGATTTTTCAAACGAGCTTGAATTTGAGTTTAGTCTCATGTAACTATTAATGCTAAACAATAAACACAAAATCCACCATTCTACTATTCCAATATCTAACCAAAATAAACAAACAAAGTTAATTACCATTTCACCAAAATTAACAAAAAACACATTCACAACATCCCAAGCATACTACAAACAACCACAATTCCACAAAGTTCTAATCCAATCAAAATAAACATACACTAAAACCACACTTACAAAAAGTAAAGCACCCTCCCTCTGGAGCTGGGATTGTGGGAGGAGTCGGTGATAGATAAAAGGTTTCGCAAAATGTGTGTTTGAGAGAGAGAGAGAGCTACTCGAGTTAGTGAGGAAGGAGACCAGAGAGGGTTATGCCATTCTAGTGGTGGACTAGTGTGGAGTTGCCAAGTGGGGTTGTGGGAAGAGTTGGCAATAGTGGCCAGTGGGTGATGTGTGTGATTGGAAAGGGTTTGTAGAGGGCGAAAATGACAAGGTCTGTAACAGAGAGAGAGAGGACTTAGGGATTTGATTTTTGGGGGGCCAAAGATATTTTTTGATTGAGCGAGTGAAGTGAGTTGTGGCTATGGTTTTTTTAGGGAAAAAAAGAACTACAAAAAATGGGAATTGCTAAAATCCGGGAGAATATTCTAGAAGGGTATATCAATTAGGGAAAAAATACAATACCAACTCAAACTCACAAATAGCTCAGGTTCGATTTAAAAATGAGCATAAAATTAGTTCAAATTCGACTCATTTTACAAAATGAGATAGCCCGAAAGAGCCAAAATCGAACCAAGCCCAAGCTATAGAGAAGAATAACGTGAGGGCGAAGTCGCGACACAAGGACCTTATTCACCTAGTTTCTTCTTCTTCTTCTTCATTCTTTCTTTCTTTTTTTATTTCTTATTCTATAACAAACGATTTACTAATGCTTCCATAAAAAAGGTCGCTCCTCCTCCTCCTTTTTTCTTTCTTTCTTTCTTTCTTTCTTTCTTATTCTTCTTTTATGACAAAAGATTTAGTGCCACTTCTAAAAAAACAATCGCTTCTTTTGCATCAAACGATTTACTACTACTTGTAGTCACTAGAATAAATTCTTTTTCTTCTCTTCCAAAAACCAATTCACTACAAAGACCAGGTGCATGTACTTCTTCTCCTCTTCTTCTTTTTCTTTTAACTGAAGCGCTGTTTTTTCTAGACCTCTACTCTTGCCGGCTCAATGATTCATTGTTGGTGGAGCTTTGAATTGCTTCAAGTTTTTGCCCCTCTTCTGATATTTGGTTTTGACTTTTTTGCTTCAAATGTTATGATTTGGGATATTTTTGGTGGTTTTTTATATATTTATGTTTTTGTTGGAGTTAAGATTTGAAATATTATTAGTGTTTTTTGAATTTAAATGCTTATGCTTTTGATTGTCATACAGACTTGGATATTATTTGTGTTTGTTTCAATTTAAATGTTCATGATTTTGGTTGCATTTGAATATTTCGTACTTAAGAAGTTGGAACTTGATATTTAATAGTAACTAAAACTAAAATATTGTTCGCTTCTCGCTTGGGCCTTCGAAGACTTGAGTGCTTCAGTGCATTTTACGCCTTAAATAACACTGGGTAACATACTACAACAAAACTAGTGCAGTCATCTATTGATCATAAACGTATACTTTGTCTAAGTCTCCAATAACAAGTAATCAATCCCAACAATTGCATGTCCAATGGAACAAACCCTGTAGACTTTACTAGTTTAACATACTACTAAACGACAACTATCACTTCCACACAACCTAAACATAATTAAAAGAAAACAATATATTGATCAGTGTTAATGGGTCATTCTGTAACGAACTAAGACAAATGCACATAGTTATGTAAGTGAAAGCACGAGTAAAACTTTGCATTACAGGTAGCATCAATATCAGCAATTCAACACACATCATCACTTAAATATACATATCCACTGCAGATACTTATCTTACAACAAAATTAAACCAAAACAACTCAACATATCAATATCTACAATCTCCTTATAATGCTAATATCCGAACCCAATTTCTCCGCCATTACTCATGTTGTTTTACCCCTTTGCATAATTAGTACAGTCAACAGAATAAAATAACAAGAACCCATGAGTTAAACATCCGTATTCAACATAATTCGTTCTTAACAGCCGAATCATCAATCCCTACCCCAATCACATTCTAGGAAGCTAACTCTACACTGCTTCAATGTTTTACCAAACAATTAGCAGCATAATAGCAAAACCAACATTACATTAAAAAAAAATCTACTTTACGTTAGTGAAATGAAGGTATAACAAACTATCTCTGCAGTCTTTACACACACACACCTGCTTCAATTGACCACGTCGCTTGGATAACAATACAATCTGGTCATTGAGGGCTTTCCAAGCACGAGCTTCAAAGCAAAGTTGAAGAATTTCTGTAACGGCCTTCCTTGTGCCGGCCACATCGCCGTTGAGTCTCATCTGCTTCTCCACATTCAACAGCACCTCTATTTGCGCATCCAGATTAGCTCCTCCATCCTGAAAGATCAAATCCAAATCACCAAATGCGCAGAGAGTTTGTTTATCAGTAATCTAATGATGAACTCTGAGATCTGAAACGAAAAAAAAAATCGCAAAATTGTACAAATGTTTACCATCTTCGACTTGAAAGCCGAGCTTCGAGCTGAAGATTTACGAAGAATTTCTATTGAACGTGAAAATTCTGCTGATTGCAGGATCTTCACCGTCTCACAAGAAACCCTAGGAGGCGCGAAGATAATTGTTGAAAATAGCAATTAGCAAATAGACCTCAGTCTCATTGGAGTTTTTTTTTATTTAAAGCAATAGGGCGGGGATTCTTCGCCTAACAGAGGGGTTGTCTGTCAAAATTACTTTAAGAGTTAATTGCAAGTTGTACGGCGAAAGATAGTTTAAATTTTAATTTAGATTTTTAAAAATTAAAAATTTTAATTTATACCCTCAAAGATAAAAATTTGTATCAATGTACACTCCAAAAATAAAAAATATCAATTTACACCCTCAAATATAGAAATTTGTATTAAAGTACACTTAAAACTAAATTTGATAAATTATACATAGATCCCCTCATGTTTGTCACTTAATCATTTGAACCCTTTCACATTAGAATATTACTCCTACATTTTATGGCGTTTGTACACGTGTAACACCTAACCCTTTTTCGTTGATATCGGTTAATATAAACATTAAAAAATATGATTTTATCCTAATAAAAAATTATAATTTCTTATTATCTTTATTTTGTGAGTTCAATATATTCTAAAGTTCAAAATTAAACTTATTATTTGAATGTCCAATAGAATAGATATTTATACAATATTTTTTATATCCAATATAATATATCACTCAATGTGCAACATTTTATTCTATTAGAGATTCAAATGGTAAACTTGATTTTGAACTTTAGAGTATATTGAACCCATAAAATAAAGGGTAATATGAAATTATAATTTATTATTGGGATAAAATCATATTTTTTAACGGTTATATTAACAGATATCAACGAAAATGGATTACATGTTACACGTGTACAAACGTCATGAGATGTAAAAGTAATATTCTAAATGCGAAAGGGTCCAAATGATTAAATGACAAGCATAAGAGGATCTAGGTATAATTTATCAATTAGTTTTAGCTGCACATTGATACAAATTTCTATTTTTGATGGTACAAATTGAGATTTTTTATCTTTAGGGGTGCACATTGATATAAATTTCTATCTTTGAGGGTGTAAATTGAAATTTTTGATTTTTTGAGGTATACATTGATACAAATTTCTATTTTTGAGGATGTAAATTAAAATTTTTGATCTTTGAGGGTCTAAATTAAAATTCGAACTATCTTTCAGAGTATAATTTATAATTAACACTTACTTTAATGCCCTTTTACAAATTTACTTTAATGATTGTTATTTCCAAGTAATTGTAAATAATGGTCAGGCAAAAATATTTCTCTATCCTATGTAAAGTTTACATGGCAGTGATATTCTCTTAGTTAATTTATGAGGGTTAATTACACTTTGACCCATTTGGCTATGACTTTTCACATTATTACTTTAACTATTATATTTTTTATATTGTCCTCTCAATTATTTAATTACTCTCACATCGCCCCAATTATTAATTTTACAAAAAAAATTATTTTGCCCCCAAACTATGCAATTTTAATTTTTTTACTTTGTCCTCACACATTAACAATTTTCATCAAAAAAATCGCGGACGTTTGATTTTGGAATGTGAAATTATTCAAGTAATTGAGGGGATAATGTAAAAATTCAATAGAAGATAATGTGCTTTGGTCATGCAAATAGTGTATATAAAGGAAGATAAAATTAGTTTCATTTGTTTAATAAGAAGAACAAAAGAATAGAGATAGAAAGGCCCCATCTGGATTTAAGGAAAATGATGATGAAAAATGAAAGTAATAGAATGTAAAATGAAAAAAAAGAAAAAATATTTTCATGCATATTTGTTTAGGATGAAAAAATTTCAAGGAAAGGAGAGAAATTAAAAGAAAACTACTTCACTTACCTAAATTGCCAAATAGAATAAAAAATTTCCTTTATATTACATTTTTTTTTTTTGCTTTTGTCTAGAAGAAAAAATTGCAAATACATCAAAAAAATTATTGAAAAATGATCAACCAACCAATTAAATTCTAATTTAAAAGCTTACTTGACTTGGTTGACAATCCTAGTCTATTTTATTCATTTCTTCCACTTGTTAGATTTCTGGTAAGGAATGCGACAATTTTTGCATGTGTTACTTGTACAACCATCATTTATAATTTATTTACTAATTAGAGTATACGTGCATTGTACGTAAATTATTTTGAGAAAAATAAACTAAAATTCTAAATCTTTAGAAAAACATTTATTTAGAAGGGATAATTAGAGGGAAAAAAACATGTATTACTTGAATTTTCTCAAATATGATCAAAGGATTAAATGTGCATGACAGAAGGTTACTTATTCCAATAATTTTTTTGCAAGACATAAAAGTTTCATGAAAGAAGAGAAAAGGGGACCAAATGCAGGACACACTGAAAAAAAAAAAAAGCATGGAAGAACGTAAAAAGCTCAAGATCTTGATTTAGACCGAGAAGAAACATATTAGAAAATCTCATCTTCTCATAAGTTGAGGCCTTCTTCCAGACCAACCCGATCCCTTAAGTCCACCAAATCACGATCGTTTTTTTTTTTAATGTTACCAAATAAGGGTGAAGAAAGGAGTTGTGGAAAAATATTGTTCCATGAAACAATTTAGAAGAAAACTATAGAGATTAAAACTTTTACTACTATAAAATGTAATTTATATAATTATAGAGCATTGGATTTCTTGTTGGTTTGCATAACTTGAAAGTTATCTGTACTACTATAAAATGTCAACAAAAATAAAAAAAATTGTTTGACTAAAATAACCTTGATAAATTCACTAATACCCATATTGTCTTTTTCAATTAATAAAAACACTAAAAATGTTGAAAGTTACTTATTGAGCTACTATTGTATTTTCAATAATGCTATATATACTGAACATGCCAAACAAAAAGAAGAGTGAAGCCAGCCATCCAAAAAAATAGGAGATAGAAAATCCTATCCCGAAACTCAACTCTATATTCGACACCTCTTGACCATGATAACTCATGTCGTGAGCATGATAGCAGAGATGATTTCATCTTTGCAATTACATCTATATCTATATTTCTAAATATCAATATCTAAGAAAAACTTTTGAATAGCTAAACTATCTTTCTCAAAAATGCATAATAACAATACCATCCACTCTTTAACATCCCTATTAATTATGTTTCCATTATTATTATTAGTAATGACGTAGTAATATCCACAATATATCTTCTTATTGAGAAACTAAAGAGACTGTATCTCGTCTACAATACCTAGAGAATAAGAAACTAATAAAAGACCCATTAACATTGTTGTCATTATTATTATTATTTTTAACATGATAATTTACTCTCCCATTTTTCAATCACTACTAAAGTAACCCATTTAGTTACTAGAGAGACTCATCTCTCATTCTCTATATATAGTGAACAAACAAGTAATCTAAAGCTATAATCAAAAGTTATATTGTGAACAATGCTAATATATTTTAGGCATCATGAGATACAACGCAACATATATTGTGCTGAGAGTTTTATTGTAAAGAAGACAAATTATTTGTGGTGTGTTTCATCAGCAAATCTTGTTACTTGCTTTCTAGGAGAGGGCTTAAGAGTAGCCTCAATATGACAATACTATCTTATTCTTTGAATGAGAAATCAAGCTAACAATTTTGAAAAGTTCCCTACCCAAAGCTCTAAATTTGTGTTATTAGCATTTCCAACATTGTTTTCTTTTTTTTTTTATCAATTTTTATTTTGGGAGGACTAAGAGAACTTGAACCCTTGACATTAAGAAGGCAAGGAGTACATTATTTCATTCTATAGGATCAAAAGAAATTATCATTCCCATTAAAGTTATAGAAAAGCATGCTTGAATAATTTATGACAAAGATGTGGTACTACAGGATAAATCTTTACATGTTTTGGTGATTTATATTCCTTATTTCCTCTACATAAAAGAACTTCATGGGCTATATATTTGAAATATATAATAATTTAATCCAAAAGGTTGTATGTTGGGCTGAGTTTTTCACTCTCAAAGGTATACCAATAACGTTCCTTAATTAATTTCATGCAATAAAATCATATTAGAAAAATTTTGGTCATGACTTGCTTGGAAAGTTCTTCTGTCTCTTGTATTTCAAAAACTTTTGAAATTGGAATCCTAGTATTGTATATTCAAAGTTAATTTGCTAATAGCAGCTACTGAATACTTCTCTTTAAGAAAAAAATATTGTGTGTTTTAAGTCTTGGGCATGTTTAAACATAGTTGATAGCATAAAACAAAGATGATCGAAATTTTGAATCTAGAATATTTTAAGAAAACTTGTATAATATCAATAAATCCTATATGTAGTATTGAGAAATCGGAAGCTAAACTAAAATATCAATACCTTACCTCAGGAGAAATATTCAACAAAAAATTTATGTATTATTTTGAGAGAAAAAAAAGTGCAATAATATTGAAAAAGTAGGAAAGAAAATTAATGACCAGTACATTTTTGTAGTTTTTGTAATTAGTTTCAAGGGACCTTGAAACATTAATCAATTGGGCTTCTCCAAATGATGAAAATGTGGTAAACACTTCCCCATTATTTCTTGGATTGCATACTTTTCTAAGCATATTTCTGAATGTACGAATTTATACCTTGAATTTTTTTACAAATATCAATTTGATTAGTGGGTGTCATGCGAAATGCCCAAGATAGACTGACTCATATTTTGAGAACTACACTTCTTAGCAGATTATCTTCTATCCAATGAATTGTTATGTGACACCATTTGGATCTATGTATTCAAAAAAGGATGCACTTGTTAATGTAAATCTAAAATGTTTAATTTTCTCCCCAATAAATTGAACTCTAGGGCGACGGTGATGGTAGATGAAAAGCAAACACAGTAGAAGTTGCACTAGAAATAGATATATTATAATATATATATAGATTAATAACTAGGTTTAGAAAAAATAAAAATAAGAATTCATTCTCCAACA